TTTCGCGAACTAAATCGCGTAACCGAGTCTGATTGTGCGTATGAGCCGCTGCGAGGGGCTGGCCCGTGCTAATCAGGCAGGCAGAGCCCTCGCTAATGGAGTCATCGCTAACGTCAATCGCTGACGTACCAGCGGTGGGGCAGCACGGAGTGGGTGTGCTGATCCGGGAAGCACGAGGGTCCCGCGGAAGAGCTGGAGGAGAGTGATTCGCTCTGGCTCCGCACCCTGGCTCCGGAGAGGAGGCTGGAGGGCTGAGGGAAGGGAGACCGTCCCCCCAGCGCTCGTGAGCCACTGGCGAAGCATGTAGAATCTGCGAGCCGGAAGGCAGCGCGTCCCGGACTGGCAGAATTCGTGCTGTCACATCCGGGGAAGGGGAAAAGTGCTTTTTGATTGATGTTTTGGTGGCACTGAAAAGTACCGTTGTAATCGGGGCCCTGCCCTCCAGCGGGGAAAGAGCAAGTTTCCTCTTCTCCGGATGGCCTGTCTCAGGGACGCTTCGCGGTCCGTTTGCTGGACTTAACGGCGCTCTGGGCAGGGGGGGCTGCCTGCTTTCGAGGTGTACACCGCGCCTGCTTGGCCACCTGCAAAAACTAAATTAAATAAGTACACAAATAAATAAATAAATAAATAAGTAAATAAATTGAAATTTCCATGCATAAATAATATATAAGTAATGAATAGTGTGGACAGATAAATAAATAAATTACACAAACGTAGGGGGATAGGAAAATGCTGAACTGAAAGTTGCTTTTTTATTTTTTTTATTTTTAAATCTTTAAATGACAAAATCTGTTAAAAATGTTTTATGTTGAATTAATTATAAATGGTTATACATTCATTTATTCATTCATTTTCCTTCGGTTTAGTCCCTTTATTCATCAGGGGTTGTCACAGTGGAATGAACCACCAACTATTATAGCATGTTTTCACTGCTGATAACGGCTATACAATTGAAGACAAAATATTGATCTCTCTTGTGAAATTTAAATTATTTAGCAAATATTTACGTTTAACAGAGCAAGGACATTTTTCCACAGTATTTCCTATTTTATATTTCTTGTGGGGGGAAACAAGCTATTTATTTAGTTTGGGTGGGGAAAACAAAGTATTTTCATAAACAATTTAAAATCGCTCTGGACAATAGTATTATTTTTTTTCCTTGATTGTCTACAATACAACTAAAAAAATTAGTTTTAAATCAGTTTCAAAATTTTTTAAAAATAACTTTAAGGTCAATATTATCAGCCCCCTTAAAAAATAAAATGTTTTGATTGGTTATAACAAACCACTTTTTAGTAACTTTCATTATTTTCTAACTAGTTAACCTATTTAACTTAGTTACGTCTTTAAATTGCACTTAAAGCTGAACACTAGTGTCTTGCAAAGTAGAAGAAAAATTTGATTGTCACAATGACAAAGACAAAAGAAACAAGTTATTAAAACTATTATGTTGAAATATTGTGTATATTTGTATCATGAACATTGTTGATAATATGGTGTTTATTGGCTGTAGTCAAATGCTACATTTTTGACACTGTCGTCAAATCAATTGTAGTCTTGATTTTTTTCAGGCTTTAAAAAAGAAGGTGAATATTAACAGTTACTCAACCATTTAACCTGTACTTTGATAAAAATAAGAGAAGGCATCAAAATAAAACATGAAAGGAATGATGATGATGACGATGCTTTACTTTTTGGCCTAAAGAAAGGTAATGTTACGGCTTTACACCTTACAGCAGATCACAAGTACATCATAAAAATACAAGCAGTAAAAATAACGATCAGCATAATATTATACCAGCAAATCATTAAAAGCCATCCTAAACAAAATGTTTTTATCTGAGAATTAAAACTGGAAATAGAGTCTATCTGGCGAATGTGCAAAGGCAGGGAATTCTATAACTTTGGTGCTGTACAACTACGCTCTGCCACCAAATGACTTCATCTTAAAGGGCACATATAGTGAAAAATCTACTTTTCAAGCTGTTTGGACAAACATGTGTGTAGAAATAGTGTATAGAACGTCATACTGGGGTGATATAAACAGACAGTCCTTTTTTTTATTTAACAACATAAAAACAGTGGACCAATTGGAGCAATTTTCAGAGTGACTGCAACCAGGGCCGGCACGTCCATAGAGGCAACCTAGGCGGCAGAATAGAGAGGGCGGCAATCCCGACACTACCCTCACCTCTCGCACCCTCAGTTATATCTCAGTTATATCCATGTCTGGGGCGCCGTCCGTGACACTACCCTCACCACCCGCCGCCTTTGCCACATCTAGGGCGGCAAAATAGAGAGGGTGGCATCCCCGACACTACCCTCACCTCTCGCGCCCTCAGTTATATCTCAGTTATATCTGCGTCTAGGGCGGCAGACCGTCCTTTGCCTAGAGCGGCAGTTCAGCTTGCTGACTGCAACTTGACGTAGGAGTTGACGTTTGCTGTTTCACGTCCGCCATTTTCAGCATGTTAGTCAAAGCGATATCACCAAAGGAATACCCTTGCTCTATTTTTAGATGTAAGGCCCACTGGGCTCAACACAAGATCAACATTCATCACATGATCGATCTAATCGGAATTATTGTTTTTAACTAAGTTTGTTTGTAGGTAGGTTTGCAAACGTGTACTTTTCATGGCGTCTTCCTTAAACTTCAGCCGTTTGCATTACTTGCGGTCACAGAAGCTCCCTGTGATCTTAACTTGTGCAGCTGGAAAGTGCGAGCACGTTACCTCACCTGAGTGTCCCTCCATTGGAAATAAAATAATGAACTTGCCTGCAGGTCGCCCTCTGCGACATGCAGCATCATGCCATGCATTTTAGAATTCTAAACATAGGTTTCTATCAGGGTACACACACCGGCTCTTCAAGTCGGTGGCTTTCTGCGGCGCCCAGCCACGATTAGGGACACTTCATATGTCTGTCAGGCCACAGAGCGCCATCTGAATGCTTTAATTTTAAATAACATGTGAATGTCCGTGTCTGGTGTGCCATGTCGTGGCTCTGAGCGGCGCATCTGGTGCCTCAGTCAAAGTTAATTCAGTGTGCGTGGTTATTAGTCTCTGTGTAAAAGCTAGGCACTTTAAACTAGCACACACTTGGCTGTAAAACTATACAAAGACACAAATGATTGTGTACTCTCTGCTTGGTCTGTGTCCGAGTCGTACATGTTGGCATCTTGGCTCTGCCCCCTTGTTACGTTGGGCGGGAAGTCGAAACTAATTTTCATGTGAAGCAACACTCCACTAAAACAGCAAGCTGTGTACACACCCGCCAAAAATAACACTTTTGAGAAAAGAACCATAAAAAGAACCATAATATAATATTAAATCTTAAAAAATGGGATAAACTATATGCCCTTTAAAGGTTGGGACAGATAACAGTTCAGTAGAAGATGATCTCAGTGAGCACGAAGTAGTGTACAAATGAAGAAGATCAGATAGATAGTTATGAAGAGCTTGTTAAGAGGAGGATTTTGTATATGACAGTGAACAGGGAGACAGTGAAGGTGAAAGAAAATTGGAGTTATGTGATCAGAAGTACATGAGCAGGTAACTATCCTAGCTGCTGAATTCTGAATTAACTGTAGTCTATGAAGTTGTTGATCAGGAATGCCAGATAGGAGAGAATTACAGTAATCAATCCATGATGTAACCAAAGCATGAACAAGCACTTCAGTACTATGTTGAGATAGTGAAGGGCGAAGTCTTTTTGGTTTTTGTCACATTTCTCTTTGCACAAAACTTTTTTTATTTTTTTTTTGGCCCAAACAAAGTTAGTGCTGTGCAGTTTTTGAACATGTCTTTGCACAACACTTACCTTTTCATGCATGTACAAAACTGCACAACAACTTTTTGGCTGAAACTAAGTAAGTGTTGTGGAGCTTTTTGTAATTTTCTCTTTACACAACACAAACTTTGTGTGTATGTGTGTGTGTGTCTCAAGCAAAGTTGGTGTTTGCAGCTTTTCACCTCACATTACTCTTTGCACAATCTCTTTGCACACTAACTTTTTGGCAAACAAAGTTTCCAAAATTTGCCAAATTACAGGTGGAAATGAGAAATATCTCTAGCCATAACATTATAAGGTGTTCAGACGTTCCTCTTTAAAAGAAAAAAAGTATCAACTATATGCAAATTGACTCAAATTTGGTTTATCACCAAGGAATGTGTACTATTTAACAGTTTACACACAAAATCATATTTTATCCCACACATTTCTGCAAATAAATACCAAAGAAAAAAGGGTGTTCAAAACAAGATAACCATACTATTTTTGAGTTATAGGGGTGAAAACTTTGTGGGACAAAACTAAAGAAAAATCCCATTATGGGAGAAATCAGGACATCTAAGAGTAATTTAAGCACCGTGTTACCCACAAACAAGGTGCAGTACATCTCTGTAAGAGCTGGTGGTGCTTGGTTTGGCTAGCTGTGTCCTAGTACCAGTACCTTGCCCCGGGCCCATTGGAGATCTGATGACACTGTGGTATCCTTGCCTTTTGGCGGGATTAATAAATGAATAATTCGTTTTTTCGCAACACAATTTTTGCACTTACCTTTCAACATACAAGTTAGTATTGTGCAAGTATTTTGCACGTTTATTTACATAAAACTTTGTGTTGTGCTTACTCCTTTTGCATAAAACAAATTTCTTTTTTGCACATTAGTTTTTGTTAGCTAAAATGATAGTGTTGTGAATGCAATTTTTGGCTTGGCACTGTTTTTAACACAATAATATTTTAGGCCAGAAAGTTTTTTTTAAACGTTTTTTATTGCATCTTTGTCTCCTTCACATTCACACTCTCCTCATCCTTCTCCTTTTGCTTCTTCTCCTCATCATCGTTCTGCTTCTCCTGCTGTCTCTTTTCTTGCTTATTTTTCTCTTCCCCTCCTTTGGCTTTTCTTCCTCCCCTTCGGTTTCTTCTTCCTCCATCTCCTCTTCATTCTTATTCATCTCTTTCTCTTCATTTTTTTTCATCCTCTCCTCCTTTATTTTCATCTACTTCTCCTCCTTCTTCTCCTCTTTTATTCTGCTATTTATTTTTCTCGTCCTCCTCATTCTCATTTTCATATTTTCCTTTTCCTCCTCCTCATTTTCTTTCATCTTCATCTCTTTATCATTCTTATCCACCTCTTCCTCCTCTTCATTTTCTTTTAAACTCTCCTCTTTTATCTTCATCTCTTCTTTCACCACCTCCTCCTGTTTCTTTTCCTCCTCCTCCTTCATCTGGCTATTTCTCTTTCTCCTTCTCCTGTTCTTAATCTTTTCCTCCTTGTCCTTCTCATCATTTATCCTCATCTCCTCCACTTCCTCCTCTTTGTTGACATGCTCTGTGTTCTGTGTATTCATGTCATCTTTCTCATCCACCTGCAGAACAAAACCAAACTTAAGTCGGTTCACATATAAGCAAATATAATTTCTCTCACTGATCCTAAAACAGACTCTTGATATATTGGTAAAAGCATCAGGAGAACATGTATTAAAATAATTGGTCATCTTTATGTCCTCACCTTTATTTTGTCATTCACACAACTCGCTTCATTATGAATGATGACAAGAGGAACCTCCAGACTCTGGTCAGACTCAGATGGGCACAGAATGTCATCTGTCAATAGAGAAATGATTGCAGTTACACAGTTTACACAGTCATTCTCAAGGCCTTGTTAACCATGGGGAAGGGGAATTAAAAACACTTAGTATTCAGGTAAATATTTATCTAGCAATAAATATGATTATTTACTATCAGAGTCTGCAGAGACAGAGAACTGCTTCTCAGTCTGGCCAAAGCAGGACATCCTAAAGAGTTTTCTGGCAGCTTTGAGGAAATTGGCCACTTTACTCTTTTTCCTCTGCGTCGTTCCCTCATCCTCCCCCACGTAATCTATTAATAGAAATGATTGTAGTTTAAACAATTTTTAGATAATTGCTTATGAACATTTACCATAGTTTTACAACAGATTAAACCAAAAGAAAAAAAAGCACATGGCTATTGTAGATAAGCCTTTATTACCACAAATTCACCATGGTTTTGCTACATTTACCATAGTTTAACCATGGTATTTGTAATAAAACTGTGGTTACATTAATGATCATTTTTACTGGATTTGTGTGATAATAAGTGTTATTTTAAGAAATTGGAGACTAAGGGCTTTATTTTAACGATCTAGGCCAGGGGTCACCAAACTTGTTCCTGGAGGGCCGGTGTCCTGCAGATTTTAGTTCCAACCCTTATCAAACACACCTGAACAAGCTGTTCAAGGTCTTGCTAGATATACTTGAAAAATCCAGGTATGTGTGTTGAGACAAGTTGGATATAAACCCTGCAGGGACACAGGCCCTTCAGGACCGAGATTGGTGACCCCTGATCTAGGCAGTTGTGCGGTTTTCTCTCAATAAGTTCTGGGTGTGTTTTGAGCATACCGTGCATTCAGAATCATCTCACATTCCCTTTAAGAGTCAGCGTTTAAGGTGCACAACTAACGCGCTCAATTGCACAGTTTATTTTTGTTCCTCAAAATAGCAACGCGCCAACAATGAGTCTTAACACACCTCATTCTGGACTGGAACACTCATGAGTCCAAAGTGGTGCAAATGGATCTACGATTTAAACAATGTGGTGCAAAACGTGAAAATTAGGGTTGTGGTGGCTTAAAAATAGCAACAAATCGTGCCAAACACATCTTGTCAGATAGAGCCCTAAAGATGTATCAGAAAAGCTGAAAATGGGCTGCCACAATAATATACAGAATTGTTTTACCTAAAATACATTGTTAACCCTTACTGTAGATTATGCAGTAAATAACTGTAAAATAGCCAGTGTTTTGGTGTAATAAAAGGAAACAGTATTTTACTGTAAAAGGAGCAGGATTTGTATGAAATTTTGTAGTGTAAAGAATAAATTACAGTAATTTGCTTTATGTACCCATTACAGATATTTACTGTGATAATAAATGGTAAATTACTGCTCAACCATTATTACCCCATGTACTCTGATGCTTTATGTTGCTATATATATATATATATATATATATATATATATATATATATACTGTTCGGTTTTGGTATGTGTATGGTCAGTATTGAGGAGAAAGTGAAACAATGCATTGATAAGCATTGATAAATCTCTGTGTTTTCTTTGGTTCCTTTTATGTTTTTAACATTGAGTATTAGGAGTCAACCAATGTCAATGTCACAGATAATTAAAAGGTAAAGATATCGACGAGATGCATTTAAAGGCAAAAATATTCACACAGAGCAACCAAATTATAACAATCATTTTTTAACTTTGTTTACTTTTCTATAATTAATCTAATTTGCCTAGTTTAGCCTATAGTTAAGCTTTTAAATGGCACTTTAAGCTGAATATTAGTATTTTGCTAAATAACTAGTAAAAATGTGTTATTTAAAAAATATCTTAAACAGCACGTACATACATTTTTGCAGAGACTCAATGAATTTGTTTGGAAAACTTCAAATGAAGTAGGTAAAAGTGGCATTAACAGTAAAGTATAAAGACTTTCCTAAATAAATGTATTAATCAGGTTATTTGTTTTTTTTATATTTATATTTTTATTATTATTATTACTACAGGTTTGGAACAACATGAGGATTAGATAATTTATTTATTTATTAAATTTTTTTTTTGCTTTGGATGAAGTTTTTATATTTTTATTTTTTTTATTCAATGATATGTGCATGATTGTGATAAATCTAGGCAATTCCTTTGAAAATATGCTTTGTACCAGGGGTGTCAAACTCCTCGAGGGCCGCAGCCCAGCAGAATTTAGTTCCAGCCCTGCTTCAACACACTACCTTTAGATTTAGTTTGATCAGGTGTGTTTAATTAGTATAACTGCACTGTTACTCTGTAGATTGTGCAGTAAATAACTGTAAAAACACTCCCACAGGCTGTCTGTCTTATTCTAAACAGAAAGGTGTTAGAAAGAGTTTTCAGAAAATGCTGGCCCTTTAAGGGAGTCAGGTGTTTGATTTGTTTACTGCTGAGTGTGCTCTATTCTCTGTCCATCAATTCAGATGTAGAGTCTGATATGTTTTAGGCTTTAAATAAGAATCTACAATGAGTAAGTAAAATGTGTTCAAATGTTTTTGAGGGTTTCTAAAATAAGTAATAAATAAATACATCTTGAACTGTGTACTTGAATTGTTAGCTAGTTAGCCTCTCCTCATATAACTTCTTACATTACTTTTGTTTAAGTATATGCATTTATTGGATATTGCATACTGCCATAATGTACAGATGCTAACAGTTGTATGTATCTTTCTGGCAACTAAGCCAAAATTAAATTCCATCATCTCAGTAAGGTAACATGTGCACATCATCACAGGGAATCACAGGGAATCCACACACAAAAGCTCCACTGTCCGGTCCCAGGATGTGAGTTTGTTGCCAAGTATTTTTCCGAGCTGTGTTTCCACCTATGAATTTATATTAGAAACAATAATAAAGTTTGTTGTCATGAGATAATTATAACAATAAAAGATTGGATCCTTTGGTTTTTCAGTGTTGCCAACTTTATTTTTATTTTTTATAATTATTTAAAACTTTTTATTGAGATTTGACACAGTTTTTAATTATTTTAAACTTTAAAATTTAAAATAATTATGTTGTTTTTTGCTGTTCATTTGCTGATCTACCCTCCTGCAGATTTCAGTTGCTATCCATATCAAACACACCTAAACCAATTAATTAGGACCTGAACACCACTTGATAATTACGGGCAGGTGTGTTTGATATGGGTAGCAACTGAAATCTGCAGGATGGTAGATATCCAGGAACAGGATTGAGCACCCTTGCTATATACCATGGGGGTCAAACTCCAAGTTCATGGAGAACTGCAGCGCAGCAGAGTTTAGTACCCACCCTGCTTCAACATTACCTGTAGATTTCTAACAAGCCATAATTAGTTTGATCAGGTGTGTTTAATTAGAGTTACAGCTTAAAGTCCCGGTCACACTGCACTTTTCTCCCTATAGACTTCCATTCATATGCATGTGAGTACTGCTGACCTGGAATAATAACTCATGCAACAAATTTCATAATTCGCAGCATTGGAAAGTTCAAGCTTGGAGAACGCTGACATGCAAAATCACATCATGTGATTGCTTGATACCAATCAAAGAACAAAACATGACCTCTCTGGCTTGCTTTTTCAATCTCTAATTATTTAGTTTAATATCACTACTCGCTTTGTTTAATTCCACTTCGCAGTGCAGTATGACAGAATTTTGCATGCTCAAAGGTTAATGTGACCGCAGCCTTACTGTGCAGACCTGTAATATGCAAGACAATATTTATATCTGCTGATTTCTTAATTTTGTTATACTTTTTCTGTTCTTTATTTGTTTGGTGCCAAAACAAAATAAAATAAATTTGTCTGAAATGTTATGCCTTCTATTTTTAAATAACAGCTAAGAATACTGATTAATTTTAGTAACACTACAATAACTATATATGATATACTATTAATGTGTATGCAGTATAATGCTGTGATTTGTAACACTACAATACAGTAATTAACTGTACACAGTTTCCAGTTAGTTACCACTGCTGCTCTATTACAGTAATTAACTGGCAACACTGTTGCCAGCTACTCACTGTAATGGTTCGGTTACAGTAAATAACTGGCAACACTGTTGCCAGCCACTCACTGTAATGGTTCAGTTACAGTAAATAACTGGCAACACTGTTGCCAGCCACTCACTGTAATGGATCAGTTACAGTAATTAACTGGCAAATCTGTTGCCAGTTACTTACTGTAACCGAACTTTTACAGTGAGTGGCTGGCAACAGTGTTTCCAGTATTCTACTGTAAAAAAACCCCGGTAAGGTCTAACAGTGTATTAATACCTATGTAAGTACATATTAGTTAAGGCCACTTAATATAAAGTGGGACCAAATTCTTCTAGCAAGTGAAATATGTTTCTATAGCCTATCCATCACTGTTTTAGCAAAAGTACAAGGAACAAATAATTTTGAATTAAAATATTACTTTGAAATGTTGTTCTTTTTATATATACACTGTTAGACCTTACCAGGCTTTTTTACAGTAGAACACTGGCAACACTGTTGCCAGCTACTCACTGTAAAAGTTTGGTTACAGTAAGTAACTGGCAACAGTGTTGCCAGTTAATTACTGAAACTGAACCATTACAGTGAGTGGCTGGCAACAGTGTTGCCAGTTGTTTACTGTAACCGAACCATTGCAGTGAGTAGCTGGCAACAGTGTTGCCAGTTAATTACTGTAATAGAGCAGTAGTGGTAACTAACTGGAAACTGTGTACAGTTAATTACTGTACTGTAGTGTTACAACTCACAGCATTATACTGCATACACAATAGTATGTCAAGGTGTTACTAAAATTAATTAGTATTCTTACCTGTTATTAATTCTTTAAATTAATTAAGTTGTAAATTCTGACAAATTTATTTTATTGTTTTGGCAGCAAACAAATATAAAACAGAAAATGTATAACAAAATTAAGAAATCAGCAGATATAAATATCATCTTACATATTACTGAGAGCCACAGGTCTGCACAGCAAGGCTGCAGTCATACGTTTAAGCATGCAAAATTCTGTCATATGGCTCTGCGAAAAGGAGTGGGATTAAACAAAATATTTAGAGATTGAAAAAGCAAGCAACTGGTCCATAATTTTTGTTCAGACAGGTCATGGTTTGATCTTTAATTAGTCTCAAGCAATCACATGATGTGATTTCGCAGTTCAGAGTTCTCCAAGCTTGAACTTTCCAATGCTGCAAACTGTAAAATTTGTCGCATGAGCTATCATTCCAGGTCTGCAGCATTCACATGCGTATGAATGGAAGTCTATAGGGAGAAAAGTTCTTCTTCTTCTTCTTCTTCTTCTTTCTGTTTTATGGCGACTAACTCATTAAAAAGCATTATCGCCAC